TGGATGGAGGGAGTGTAACCCAATGCAATCTTAAACAGCACTAAATAGAGCTCTGTCTGTTAATAGGCAAAATTCCCATAAGATTTACTGAAATATTTCATTTTCTTCTCGGTGTGCAGAAGGAACTGAGCACTACTCAAAGTTTCCACGGTATCCTGACATCCCGACTGCTCTGGAGCAACGACCCACTAGTTAAATCAGCTGGTAACTTGCAATAACGTGGTTTACTATGCCAGGCAGACATTCAACTTTCAGGGAAAAAATTACCGCGTGCTGAAATTATTCTTGTCTGATTTCTGGCTAAAGATTGTGCATGTTCAAAATCCAATTAGTATCACAGACTAGAACAGATCTGGCTACAGTCTACAGCCTCTAGTAGGAACTATTGAGCAATTTGGAGGGACTGGGGAGAAAGGCAAATAAATTATTTAGTTTAGAGCTGCATCTCGTATTTTAGAACTCCTTCTGTAAGGAAGACCAATTGTCAGAAATTCTCAAGGTGTTTTAATTCATTGTCACGTGAAATTAATCTAAAGAAAGTAAAAAAAATACTGCAACTCACAGATGAAAGAGGTTCATCCATGAACTTGATTAAATCAAATATCATTCCCAGATGGGAATTACCCTTTGTCCTCACAGCTACTGAAAACAAACTTTTATCCTCCATTTTAGCATGACCATCTTCTAGAAACACTTCACCAAACAGCATTTTCCAACTTCAGAAACTATTTTGAAGTGGTTTTCAGCTCAAACGTTTATGATGATTTTGATGTCAAGCAGGAGTTGTCTGAAGTATTACGTCAGAGGAGGAGTTTTCTGAGAAAAGCAGACATACCAGCTCTGGAGCTGAGAGGAGGTCCATCACACCTTGTACCTCACATGACAAATTCTCGGGGTTGAGACTAGAAACTAAAGAATTCGAGCCTTTCTGGAATTTGTTACACATCCATGACGAGACTTTCCTTCAACACGAGATAATCATTGCAATTGCACCTGCAATTGCCAATTTTACTGCCAAGAAACAGTGGCCTCGGGATCTCCAATCAACCGTGTCGTAAACATTCTCCGACGTCCTTCACTTCACAACATTCATCTAACCATCCTCCTCCTCCCGCAGTTCCAAAACTCTAAGCCCCATGCTGGACACGATCTGCAGTATGTCGTAATTACCAGGACATTTATCTCCTGCTCAGAATCAGAAACACTGGTTTTTCCAGCTCGTTTTTCTAACTGCCAGTGCAGATTAAACTGGGGACACACTCAGGGCAGTCGTGTTTCACTGTACGGCGTGAGTGTGCTCGGAGTTCCAAGGTGGCTCAATGACTCTCAATGGCACCTAAGAGATCCTGAAACGATCTAGAGCTTTCACTTTTTTCACATTTTTTTCCCTGGACTCGAGTAACACACCAACACGCTCCAGCCTGGTCCGTGACACATCCTAAGGCAGCTGTTAAGCTGGAGTCTTTTAAATCTAGGTGTGTTTTGGCGATTTGGTGGACGCTGCATTTTCTTCCTGATGCAAGAATCCTGAGAAAGCAAGCTGCTACCCACAGAACCACAACAACTCTTTTTCTATGCAGGTTTACGTGGGTTTTTTTTGGAAATGAAGGTGCAATATTAATGGCTCATAGCATTAATTTTCCACTCCTTGCCTTCCCACTTCACCGTTCCAAGTCACAAAGCCATTTCAACCTGTTCTCAGTAGAAAGGGGGCTGATCTAAACTGGTGATAAGACACCCCAAAACCTTGAAAAACTACTAGACAATGCACAGAACGTTCCTAACGATTTTGTTCAGCTAGATTAGGCAAATTTGGTTTTAACAAAGGAGAGATTATTTTATCCTTACTTGTTTTCAAACAAAGATGCGACAACAGTGCAGAAGACAGAGGACTACCAAGGGTACAGTTAAGACTCTCCACCTAAAGCCTTACTTTTCCACGTTCGAGTAGTAGATACCAGGTGTAAGAATACTGTGCAAACAAGGACAGCCATTTACTCCTTCACTTGATTGTCCTGGTTTTGACTGGGACAGAGTTAGTTCTCATTTCAGCAGCTAGAAGAGCGCTGTGGTTTGGATTTGCTCTGGGAGTCGCTATGAGAAGAAGGTTGATGGAGCACTGATGGTTACAGTTGGTGCTGGGACATCAAGGGCCTTCCAGCTTCCCGTGTTTTCCCAGAGTGCAGGAGCACAATGGGCTCGGGGTGGGGGCATGGTTGGGACAGAGGGCCCACAGCTCCCAGTTTAGTGTTTGAATTTAGATTTAGGACTGGGGGCCAAATTGGCCAATGGAGTACTCCATACCATGCAACGTCATGCCCAGTACATAGATGAGGGTTGACTGGGAAGAAGAGCTCTCGCTCTTCTAGGAATTCTCTTCCGAGGGCTCGTACTCTCTCAGACTGCTCTCTCTCTCTCATTCTCTTTTTGGGCCTCTCACTCATCCAGGATCACGGTGTCAGGACTTATCCAGTCTGGGATCACTTGCCAGGATGGGATAGGGGTTAGTCACCGGGTGGTGAGCAACTACACTGCGCATCACTTGTTTGTATATATTGTGGGTTTTATATATATATTCATATATTATCATTTTATCATTATTACTTTAATTTTTAAATTATTAAATTGTTCTTATCTCAGCCCACGGGGTCTCCTTCCCTTCTCCCCTTTATTTCTCTTCCTCCTTCCCCTGGGGTGGGGGCAGGTGGGCAAGTGGCAGTGTGGTGTTTAGTTGCCAGCTGGGCTAAACCTCGACACTTGATCAGGACGTGGTACAGTGAACACTTATTGACAAGTCACAGAAGTGAACACACTATTGAAACAGCTTCTGGTGCACTAGAATTTAAGTTACCTCTAGGACTCTTCACAACTGTATCTTCAATAGATCAAGAATATGAAAATCGAGATCCTGAAGTTTTGAAAAAATGCTCTAAAAACACACTTTACTTTCTATTGCCACTTCTGGTACTTATTTCTTTATGGAATGACTTGTATGGATATCTGGTTTTCTCAAGCTCTTCTTTTTCTTAAGTCTGCAACACTCCTAGATGATTGTGCATCCTGAAGCAACTCTGATAGACTTGGGGAAAAACCACAAAGTTAAGAAAATGTATTGAGCTGGATTGTTCCCCAGAAAATACTCTCGGACTTCCCAGGAAAAGCAGAAATGGCCTTCTAGAGGGAAAATACGGCTCCTCCCTGTTTCTAAGGTGGCAGCAGCATGGATAAAGCAGCCAAAAGATTCTTTGCTGCAAGGAAAGCAAAGGCAAAACCATTTTTACCTTAGTACAAGCAGTAGTAACCACCTTCTCTGCACTGCTAATTGCTAATGACAATTGCTGATGCAGAGGAACACAGTGATACAGTTGCTGATTTTACACAGCACTTTTTGTTAGAAATTCAGCTAATCCACAGATGAACACACAAGCCACAACAAAGGCAGAATCAAAATTCTTGGAGCTCTGCCAAGGTCAGATTAAGTAACCATATCGTTCTCTGTATCTGACAAAAAACCATGATCTCAGGCGGTGAAAGTCAAACCTTGGCTGAGAAAGCCAGACCAAATACAACTGTAGGAGGTTTCTTTGATCACGGTTCCACTTCCATCTTAGTCCCATCCTTACATCAGATCAAGAGGACCTACACAGCTTTCCACCTTCATAAGCTTGGTTTTCTTGCCTACTCATTTCCTAGGACAAGCGCCTCTGAAGTTAGATGAGCTCTTAACTCCAGGAAGCTTGGCAGAGACCCAGTTCTCTTCCACAGAAGTATTAACTTTATTTCCTATGCTTTCCAAGACAAAGACCTCACTCCATGCATTAAGACCTCATGCTGCCCTTCCAGCAGCTGAAAGTTCTTTGTAAGGGAGAATGCATAACCAAAAGATGGCATGTGCCACCTGCGATGTAACACACTTTTTCCTCATTAATAATTCCATAATTTCCCTTATTATGGGATTTGGTTTACTCTCCGTGTGAATATGCATTGTTTCTGCCTGGTTATGAACGAGGGAGATGAATATTTCTAATGCCTAATATTTCTGTTATTTATTTTCTATTCCTCAAAGAATAGATACCTCCAACTGGACTTCCACACATCCTCTGCAATCCCTGAAAATATTTCATTTACATAAGGAGATTTTCATTCAACTGCCTTGATGGGAACCTTGCACATTTATCAGATGAAGGCTGGTTTCACTATAATCTGTTTTTCCATCACTTCTGAAAAAGAGGAGTAATGAGCAATTGCCCTTGAAAGCCAAGCAAAAAAATTCCCCTAGTGTAGTTGTTCTGAAAAAACTCCATAACCAAGGTGGGGGGGGGGAGATATTTAGTAGTTTCTCTTTAATTAGTCAAAGAAAAGAATTTTCTCCAGGGAGGAGCTGGTCAATCTCTTATTTATATCATCTGGAGACGAGTCCTGGGACTTCTTCCTGATGGTTGGCACTAAGTCCAGACTCCAAACAAAGACGTGGTCTTTTGGAGGCCTGATTGTAAAGACTGACACAAAGGAGTAAGACTTTCCTTTGCTCCCACGTGCTGCCAAAGGGCTTACACCATCTGGTATAATCAGGAAGGATGAATCCCAGCGCAATGTGTTAGTTACTCGATTCTCAAAGTTTTTAGCTTGTTCCTTTCTTACTTAAGAACTTCTGTATCTTAGTGATTGTCGAAGGCATGAAGCAAATTATTTAAAATCAGGTTTTCTTGAGCTTAGCCTCATTTTGTCCTTCTCTAGCATCACTGTCTCTCCCTCCTTATAATCTGTAGATGATTATAAAATTAAATAATTTTCATCTGAATTTGTGAGATGAGCGGGCCACTGAAATATTCCAATTATCCACAGAGCCTATAATATAATTCTGCTTATATCTAATTACATATCTGTGACTGTGAATACATATAAATATGCACTTTATACACAAAACCCAGTGTATTGTCCCATGTGTTTGTCTTCTGGCCTACAAGACAAAGACTACTGGTCATAGCTGAAAAGGTTACCTGGATCTGGGCTCTGTTTCCAGCTGTTATATTAGATATTGTCCAGCATGCTTCCTTTTTGATAGACTCTTTTGGGCTGCTTAGCAAATGCAGTAAGCTCTGCAGGGCTGAACAATTCAGAATTACCTGAATACAAAAGAAACAAAAATGAAAATAAACAAACCACACCTTAGAAGAAACTTAGGATAATCACAGGAAGGAGGAATACAATGTCTTCAAAAGTCTATAAAGCGTATCGCATCAGATAATCCCAAAAAGTTAAGGAAAAAAATCCCAACAACAACAACAAAAAACCAAACAGATCAAAACAAAAAAATCAGAGCAAGAACTAAGAAATAAATGTTTGTATTTTATATGCAGGAAAGCTAATGAGCACAACAACTGAGTAATTCAGATAAGAGACCATGTCTTCATTCTGATTTCAGTGTAACCTGAGCGCAAGAAGACACTAAGCCCATCAAAACCAGACAAAAATATGACAACGTTTTTGTCCTGTAGTCTTCTTTTCTGTGTTTCTGTATACCTGGAAGCTCCAACCACTTCTGCTTTCTGCATCAGCTGGCACAGTGGAGGAGACTGCTGCCAGTGTTGTGCTCAATGGCATGATGAACAGGCAATTGTTCTTTCAGAATTGTTTAAAATTGCAACTGTACAGAGCAGGAAAGTTGCAGGAAAATCTGCATTTCCAAAACTACAGATTTTAAGTGCCAAAAGTGAACAAAAATTGGTATGTTACAGGACAGAACATTTGGTTAAGCAATGTTTGCTGGTGGAGGGCTTTTTTTCACCCTCTGAAAGGGCCTAACAAGATTTGATGACTGAAAAAAATGAAGTGTTTTGTTTTTTTGTTTGTTTGGGTTTTTTTTGGGGGGGTTGGTTTGTTTTTAATTAAATCACAATTTCTTACAAATAAATAAAAAACTGGAAGAGCCTACTCAGAATCATGGAAGTTTTGCCTTGTATGGCAAAGCAAGCAGCTTGGGAAGATAGCATGGTCCAGAATTTTTTAAGAAATGTTTTAGCCTGTTTGTGGACATCAAAAAGACTAGAGCACCAAACTGAATCATTGGGATGACTTCCAACCTCGGAATCTGAATTCCCTTGCTCATCCCTCTCTCTCTGATTCCACAAATACTCCTAAAACCTTTCCATTCCAAATTAAGACTGAAAAAAGCAAAGGTTATGGTTCAGGATTTTATCAGGTATCTACTGGGGTGCAAAAGATCTGGTTTTACCCCCCACACACTGCCTCTGGTTTTGGCCACCTCCAAGCACTGGAAACGAGACATAAAGCAAAAGCAGGTTGTACTCTGAGTCTGGACACAGAAGTTTTCAGGCATCTGCCTTGTATGTCGCTGACATATTCAGGAACACATCGACTGTCAAAGCTGAGCTCTTCTTCCTCCCTCACACACCTGATCAAAGATTTCTATATGCCTTCTGGACCCCTCTTAATATAGCACAACCAGCAGGCAGGACTGTCAAACTATCCTACTTAAGCAGTTCCCTAGAATTTTAGGAATGTTTATGGTATGCTCCTGTTAAAAAAACTAACAAAAACGTTGAAACGTTTTCTTGGATTGAAATATCAGGTTTATGCAGTATTTAGTGACCCCCTACATGTGATTTAGTGATCCCTTGTGGTTTGATTTTTAATGAAACTACAAAATCACAAAATGCACCTCGTTCTTATGACTGACCTGCAAAGCAAAAGCCACTGAGAAAAAACACAAGAAAGCGTATGTAATTTAGCTACAGAAAAAATATTATAACAAAAAAAAAAATCACATTAACCCCCTCCAGCACAAACAGCATCCAGCTGCTGCTAACTCACCTTTGTCTCTAATCTCATTGTCACAGAACTACAGAATTCCAAACGATACATTTATACAAACCAAAAAAAACAAAAAAGCATTAAAAGAAGCCTCAAGGTTAGGAACGTGGATTTTAACTTCAGCGTAATTTACGTGGAAGTAGTAATTTAATCCTTTGAACGTGGAATCATAAGCTTTGTGCTTCTACACTTCACTGGAAGCATCTTTCTCCAAACTCTTCACATCATCTCACACCTCTAACTGCCCCCACTGACTTCTGGATGCCCATTCCACTGCCTCCGCTGCACACACCTCCCCGTTCACAACTACTACCACTTTTTGACCCCATTTCTGCCATCAGCTTTAGCAGAGTCAAGAGCCCCCCCCCCAGCAAGCCTCTGAGTCTGTGACTTCAGTCCAGTTTGGCTGCACATCACCAGACAGCTCCGCACCACTCAGACGTGCTTTTTAGTTGCGAGCTAAAGACGGACGCCAAGAGCCAGTCAAGTTTCAAAAGCAGCAGCCAACTCTGTGTTTTCCTTCCTTGTATTGCCAAGTGAGTGCCACAAAAGGGTGTCAAATGCATAAAGAAGTGGGAGGAAATTTTACCATAAGGTACAACAGCAGAAGCTCTTTACTGGACCTTCTGCTCTGCATTCAGAGGCTGCTGCCAGCCACTGGATCGCAGGTAACAACTACGCAAGGCACAGACTCTCTGCTCCCACAGATTTTAAAAACTGATGGGAGCTGCTGCCTCTTGCAAAACCTACCAAGCAGCAGGATAACAACCTAGCACCTCTGAAGCATCACGTTTCCTGGCTCTCTGTTTAATTCCAACACAGTGGTGGAAGTCACCACCTACTGATGCTTCTCCAAGCATGTGCCCAGACATTGTTACCTACCATCCAAAATCTGACCAGACACTCTTTTTTGGCATATTCATCACGGAGTGTTAACAGCACCAAATGTGACAGGCCTTCGATGGCCCTACCAGGACACATCATTCAGCATAAAAATTCAGCCCAAGAGGCAGACTTGCTCCAAACAAACAAACAAACTCACTCCAGGGGTATTGCACAGCTGTACACGAATCCCAGATGTAGCTATGTAAGAATCACCAGCAGTTCAGGACTGAACAGGAAAGCCATGAAAACCATCACGTGTTCTGAGGCAACTAGTGCCATCAGTCCTTCACTTCCAAACTTCCAATGGAAGGAGAGGAGGTGCTGTGAATAGGTTACAACTCACAGAAAGATGACTTGCAGTACAACACGAGAGAAAGTGAATCCATACCTGGGTCTGGATATCATCTCCGGTGACAATGTTCCCAACAGCTCGTAAGGCAGGAGATACAACTTTGTAGTCGTTGTGCCTAAAATTACCAAGGAAAGATCCAAGTGTTAACGATCCTGAAGCATCTCCACCTTTACATCCTCAAGGAAGGAACAGCATCAGCCAGGGGAAAACTGCCCTGCTAAACCTGACTTAACTCGCTCTCTGAATCAACACACTGGTAAGGCTTTCTAGGGTTTCTAAATATTCAGACTTTTAGATATCATTCAGCAGCATAAAAAGAGATTAAAATGAGATTAAAAGAATACAAGTACTCCAGAATACAGGCATTCTTGGGAGGGAAGAAGTAATCAGCTTTAACTATGAAACACACTTCATGTAGCACACACAAAGGCAGAGAACAAGGCAGAGGAACACTGACAGAAGCTGTGTGTTTAACTCAACCATGTCCCCACACAGCTGTTTGATCATCTTCTGTTACCATCTGCATCCTCCCCCTGCACTGCATCCCCCCTTCACCCTTTTTAAATCAGGATTGGAATAGGAAGGGTGAAGTAAGGAACTCTTTTCTCAAACGGAAACACACGTTCGTAAACAGGTACCTTAGGTAATACATTCTATTCATTAATCCAGCACCAGATTTGCTTTAAAAGTCATAATAGTCTGTTTTATTTACATCCCTGAAAACCATTATTTCTTGTTCTTAGGTATCTGAATGCTCCATGTCCATCCCTTAGTCCTGAAGGAATGGCTCTGGACAAGGCCAGTCCCCCCGACCCCAGCTCCCACAGCTACGCTTTACTGACCAAACTCTGCTTATACTCTCCTATAGGAAATTAGAGGTTTAGGAAATTATTTACAGTTCAAGTCCGTGGTACCATCAATTCTAGTAAGTTTTACTATTTCCTACATTTCTATCTTTGATATCCTTCAGCAATTTCATTGGTAGGTAATTATAACATGGACCTCAATGGCACAGAGAAAATTCCAGCATATATTACCAATTTTACAAAAATGCAGCGGTTAGGTGCAGGGAAAAAAAAAAAACACTTAATAAATAGCCAAACTAGTACAAGAAAAGTTCCATTGTTTCTGTTACTCATGACAAACAGAGAAGACTGAACACAGACAGGTAAAATTAAAACTCAAATCTTGCTTTTGGGAAATTATTCCATTTCAAGGCATATCTAATTAAGCTTCCTATTGCTGGAACCTTGATTTTAGCCAAAAGAGCAGAGAACACATTTGCTGAGAACAAATTTCTTACATCAGCAATTCCACAAGCCTTCTGCAGACTCCTGCGTCAATCACAGCCTGGATTTTGTCATTGGGGCCATCAGACAGGTAGGACAAAGCCCAGCAGGCATCAGCTAATACATCCGTGTCGTTGACAAAGAGCAGCCAGGAAAGCACACTAAGACAAGGCGAAACCTGTAAGACATTAGGAAGACATACACTGTGCAAATAAGAGGGGCAGAAGATCTGCTAACATGTCAGTGAATTTTCTACGTGGCACTATAGGACTGGGCACTGGCATCTATTCTATGAGGCATCTCATAGAATCTATTCACTGGCATCTTTCCTATGAGGACAGGCTGAAAGAGTTGGGGCTGTTCAGCCTGGAGGAGGCTCCAGGGTGACCTTATAGCGGTCTTCCAGTACCTCAAGGGGGCCTACAAGAAAGATGGGGAGAGGCTGTTCAGGAGGGCCAGTTGTGATAGGACAAGGGGTAATGGTTTTAAAATAGAGGGAGGTAGATTCAGATTGGATATTAGGAAAAAATTTTTTACCATGAGAGTTGTAGAACACTGGAACAGGTTGCCCAGAGAGGTGGTGGATGCTCCATCCCTGGAGACATTCAAGGCCAGGTTGGACGAGGCCCTGAGCAACCTGATCTAGTTGGAGATATCCCTGTTCCTTGCAGGGGGGTTGGACTAGATGATCCTTCAAGGTCCCTTCCAGCCCTAACCATTCTATGATTCTATGATCTGAAGGTACAATACTCAAACTACTTCAGACTTGGGTAGCACTTCTGCGCAGGGCTGTAGTAGCTACACCAGTGAGGATGAGCACGTCAGGAGAATTCTTCAGCCTCTACAGCACAACGTCTGGCAACTTAAACTCACACTTGTCCACTAAGAGGTGCCACACTTTGCACTACAGTAGCCAAGATGTACAGAGCTCTGTTCTGCTGTGGGATGGTCATCTCCAGTAGAGGAACAGTAACAAAAAGCTGGGAGGCAGCAGTATTAGAACAGTGGTTCTGAGTGTCTGCCCAAAGGACTAAATACACTGAAAAACTTCAGCTGTAAAAAGCCCATACATTGTTTCAGAGAAATTCTGAAATATTTGTGCTATTTAAAGTTTCACCGCCCTTCTGGCTTACTTGGCTACCACCACCTCACAACACACTTCCTTTCAAACATCTCTTACCTTGGCAAAATCCGGAGGAGGATTCTTCCCTCTGCAGAGGTTGGATAGAGCCCATACAGCGTTTCGGGTCATAGTGAGACGGTTCTGTTTTGAAAGCAGTCTAAAACAAACCAACAAAAAAATTCCAACCTTTGCTTTTCAAAAAATCAAAGTCAGGCATTCTGTAGGGTGAACTGCATAAACCATTAAAATAAACTCAGGCCTACATGTTAACATATACCAGGGCAAAACATGCTGATTTTTTTTTTTTTCTACAAAAATACATCCTGAGGAAAATCATGCTTGACAGCTGGATACTAACACACATGCTAGACATGAACCCTAGTATCCTCACAAGACCAATGGCCACTATACTAAAAGTGTGTTTGTTTAATTTTTTAGATACCGATGTGGCAGATGAACAGTCAAAAGGCACCTGAACTGTGACAAAATTAGTCTAAGCAGAAGGACGTGCAGGTGGTTTTGGAGAGCACTCTCTTCACTGAGCTGTGGTTTTATGTCAGCCTCAGGCTACCAGCCCCACTTTCACACTTTTGTGAGTTAACCAGTGAAGGAGAATGAAACAAATCCTCTAAACGAGGTGTTTTCCTGACAGCTAGGAAATGACGAGCCATAGTGCTCTTTGGAGGAACGCAGTAAGGCAAGACCTGTTTTTTTTTTCCACAGCTGTAACAACTCAGGTTCTTCTTCTCGTAGCCATCCCCCACTGTACCAACGTCTTTATGAGAGCACTGGAGAACTCCACTGCTGCAAACACGGTTTGCATAGGACAGATGGAGTAATCCTAGTTTGGACAGGACAACACGAGCTGGTGTCACTGTTTCAGCAACGATATGGTCCTTCAGCAGAAGACCATGGAGAGGAACGACACACAAGAGGAGGGCTGGAGACCTGGGTATGTTCAGCCTTAGAAAGAGACTGTGTAAGAGGTGATCTAACTGCTGCCTACAACAGTTGGATACAGAAAAGAGAAAGTCAGATCCTTCCTAAAGATGTGTAGTGACAGAAGAAGAGGCAACTGTCTCAAGGTAAAACATAGAAAATTCTGATTAGGTATCAGAACATTCTTCTTCACCATGCCATGGTCAAATACTGCAACACGTTGTCCCCGGTGGTCATGGAATCTACCTCTGATGTTCCAAATCTGACTGGTTCAGTAATTGAGCAACCTAATCCGATCTCAACTGCTTTGAAGAGAGGGTTTGACTAGATGACCTCCAGAAATGCCTTTCAACTTAAATTATTCTATGACTCTATAATAAGCCCAGGCATCCACCCACTCTGTAGAATAAAATAGTTCCAGCTTAGCTGCTCCTAAAACATGTTTCCATTTTAGCTCCATTACAAAAGTAGTTCAGAAGCCTCCATTACGAATTCAGATTAGTCCACAATTTAAAAAAAAAAAAAAAAAAATCAGTATTTTTCTTCAAGGCAAAAAAAAAACCCCACCCCTTCAGTCTTATCAGACACTCAAGCAAAGTTCTGGAAAACATATTAAAACAGACTTACTGCAGTAAAGGTGGCAGGATATTACAGTCCAATACATAGTCTCTGCACATAGTGCTGTCTCCAGCAATGTTGCCAAGAGCCCACACTGCCTGCAACGAAAAACAAACAGTAATTGCTTTTTTTTCCATAATTCAACCAGTTTAGTGTACGTATTAGAGTGGGAGATACTCTGTTCTCACTGTTAGATCCCGGACCATCTACAAAAGAGGAATGCATTCCCGTTGAGTATTACATATATATATACCCCCAAGCTCATTATATTATTCAGGAATATTTACACAGACCTAAGAGGAATACCAAACCAGCCAACGTGCATGTCTCCAAAGACTTTGCAGGCTGACGTAACCTTGCTCTGTCCACAATGTAAGAGATGAGCTTATCTCCTCAGGCTTAGTAACATACTAATTCTCTACTCCTCATTCAGAGCTGCTTCAAGTCCAGATGTCCATAGCACAAGTCTGTACCTCCCCAGCAATGTTTGGGTAGAACAGCCCGTATTAGGATTTCCTAAGCAGCCATAAAAAGCACGCGTTGTTGACACAGCCATATTAAGAATGCTGACACCAACTAAGATGAAAATGATAATTTATATGCCAGATAAACCAGTATTCAGAATCAAAGTGTTCAGATGGGCACTGGCATACATTCTTTAAGAGAAAACTATACCAGACAGAACCAGTGTGGCCCATTCAGACAGATATATGACAAAATGCAAGGACAGGTATTTTCTCCCTCGGACATCGGTACTACTGTAACCTTCTGATTTGAGAAGAAAAGACCTAAAATACCAGAAGATAATTAAAGCAGCATGAAATCCATCTTCTGTAATACAATGAGAACAAAAGATTTAATTGTTTTTGATTTATACATTTGAGTCAAGTGGTGTTCTTGATATCGCTGTCCACTAGGATAAGAGCTATCACCGAGAAAAATTAACAGTAGTCTATATGAAGTATGGAAGGCATTTTATGAACCCCATGTGATTTACTCCCAAAAAAGTGTATGAAAATGTGATTTACTCCCAAAAAAGTGTATGAAACTCACATTTGCTATTTATTTCAAGTTAGCAGAGCGCTAAGTGTCACATCTGCTTGTTTGGTAAGAACCATACAATGCATACCCAACCACTGGAAACCCTTCCAGTACTGCACATGGAGGACAAGAGCAATCCCATCTGTCACAGACAGCAGCTCAAAGTCCTCCCCAAACATCTCTCCACTTGAAGACTATGTATTTGCAGTAAAATGGGTTACAGTGAGTAACTATTTCTCCAACCGAACACACAAAATAAGTTCCACGCACAAAATAAACAGGTTTTTCTCTCTGTATCTCTACCTGAAAAAGTTCTCCTCTAAAAAAAATTGACAGAATAAGCTGAATTTGTTACCTAAACAAAATGCCAAGACAATCTTGAGATAAGCTTATTTATTCATCATCGATACGACGTCAATTGATTTGTTGCATTAGATTTCTGCTGCAACATGTTTTTAAACAGTGGTAAAAGATGGTACTTTAAAGAATAGACTCTAACCACTCTAGAGGCCCAAAATCACTAGCAAATCTCTGCAAAATTAATACAGTTAAAACTAGACCAGAAAATTTATATACAAAAATGTAGATACAGATGTCAGCTTGCTAGGTACAAAGCATCAGGATTGCCAATAACACCATACATAGATCCATCACAAGTCCCTAAACTGCAAATAGCTACTCAGAGACTACTCTGGGGAAGCACTAGTTGGTTTTGTTCTCCTCCTTTTTTCCAGGCTTCTGCTGTCCGGCAGAGACAGGGCACCAGGCTACACCCACCTTGCTGTGACACACCACCCTCATCACTACCCAATGTACCCCCAGAACCCATCTTCAGCATGAAAACTTCTTTTTCATGTCAATTCTTATTATTTTACAACTGTTATGTCTGAAATAAAAGTCTAACCTTGGGTCTGGCAGCCTCACGGACTCAAGACGAAATAGGAACCACTAGAAAAGTTTAGCTGCAGAGACAGAACGTACGTCACCTCCTGCAACATGTCCCTGGGATCAGAACTGGAAGAGGCCCCACTCACTGCTCACTTCAACACTTGTGTTTCTGTAGCAACAAGAAGCCTGAGGAATGAATCAAAGATTTCAGCTGGTTCTAAATAATCTCGTGGATCTTTTAAAAATTTCGGGGCACGACGGGGAAGTCAGAATTTCCAATAATTTCCTTTCACTGAACACAGGGGTACCTTTGCACAAAGATACAATATCCTCACCTGGACACCCCTGCACACGTTAAAACACCCCTCAAAGCCGGATGCCACCTGTCTGTGGACCTTGTTTCTGCCATTATAGTAATATCTATTTTTAGGGTTGACAACAGTGCCAAATCGCTTAATCCAGGAATCCATTCTGACCCTGAATGACACACTGGTTTTGCAACAGCGAATCTCACATCAAAAAGTCTGAGCAGAGAAGTCAAATAGCATCTCTACTGCTTTCCCACTCTTGATTTTTTTATGGCAAGAGAAGTGCTGGCATCACAGGACCTGGTAAGGGAGGATATTGCAAGAAATCCTTGTAATGCTAATGACTGATAGCGCACAAGATGTAGAGAAACTGAAATATCCTTAGAAAAATATGCAGTTTAGTTGAACAAGGAAGATGTCTTTCCTTAAGGAATTATTTCAGCTCTTCAGGTAAGTGAGGAACATTAAGTCAAGCTCATTTAAACTCTTCTCATCAGACACTGCTATAAATACACAGCTTCATCACGGCTCCCACGGCGGACGCGTGAACTATGACAAGTGTCTTCAGGGTTTGTCTGAATAACGTCCAGTGATGTCCACTGCTGCTCTTGTGCACTTCTCAGGATGCAAATAGCTTGCTTGTCATGTTTTGGCTTCATTCTACACATCCAAATATTTTTATCGTCTTTTCTGGACAGTTGCAAAGGTAAAAGGATATTTAATTCCAGTAAATTTCAGAGTTTGTTAAATAAAAAAAAAAAATTTATTTTTAAAAATTTAAATTTTAATACTTTCCACTATCCACATCCAGAGCTGAAGATGAAAAGAACCTGTAATTTTAAGATTTGTAGTCTGTCCTTTTTAACCAAAATCTTAGGTAGCAAAGTTGTGTGTAAACTGAAAATGCAAATATCTTCTTATCAACTGACAGCATACATGTTTAAACACCTGCATAAATTTCCATTTATTGCTAACTGTGGAGTAGGGATTGCTGCAGGTCTCCAGTTTCTTTTACTCACCACTAAACTCCATTGTTTTTTTTCTTGCCGTGCTGGACAACTTCAGTAGTCACAACAGTAAAGTTCAAGTTTTCTAGAGCACTGCTGAGCCATATGGTACCTCCTGTGAATAATCCGTGCGCTTTCTGACAAACCTCCACTTCCCCCTGGATTCTGAAGGCTTTCAGCTGTTATTTCATCAAGCCTTTGGATATTTAAACCAAGTGCTAAACCAACAGTGTGTAGAGCCTGTGCCTCTTGCTGGAGAAGAAACATTCGGAAGTAAGAATCAACACTCTCTACTTTTGACTGCTGACGTGGGAAATGGATCTCATGTTGGGATGAAGATGGTGAAGACGAGCTTGTGTACAAGTGTGATTGGATAAGCGGCCACAAGGAAAGACACCAGAAGGCCAGATTCCCAGGAGATGACTTCTGCTATGCCCCAACACAGAAAACACCTTTCTTTCTGTGGCTGGGGTGATCACAGCTCCTTCTCTCTCACATCTGATCCACCCGGAGAAAGTAGTTCATACTCATGTCTCAACTGTTTTTCCTGATTTTGATTACCAAGATCTAGTTAGTAGGACTGCTGATGTAAAAGCCACCAAACAGAAGCTGGACACGACTCATAGGTCATCTCTGCCAAACAATGGTTACCAAAAGGAACAGCAATACAACTAGAAATGGAAAAATACTGAGAAAAAAAACATTGGTCGCTTTAGTTGAAAACACAAGTGCTCCCAAAAGAGAACAGGGCAGCTGGAGAAGCTTCTGCCACTGGCTGTCCAGCAGAGCACAATGACACGTATCTGTCACTGTGAGACGATCTCAGCCATCTCAGAGGTGATTCTGCCCCTCTGCTCTGCTCTCCTGAGACCCCCCTGCAGTGCTGCGTTCAGCTCTGGGGTCCCCAACACAAAAAGGACATGGAGCTGTTAGAACGAGTCCAGAGGACGCCACGAAGATGATCCGAGGGCTGGAGCACCTCTGCCATGGAGACAGGCTGAGAGAGTTGGGGCTGTGCAGCCTGGAGAAGAGAAGGCTCCGGGGTGATCTTATTGCAGCCTTCCAGTACCTAAAGGGGCTACAGGAAAGCTGGAGAGGGGCTTTGGACAAGGGTGTGTAGTGACAGGACATGGGGCAATGGCTTTGAACTGAAAGAGGGGAGATTTCCATAAGATCTAAGGAAGAAATTCTTTCCTCTGAGGCTGGTGAGGCACTGGAACAGGTTGCCCAGAGGAGCTGTGGCTGCCCCATCCCTGGAAGTGTTCAAGGCCAGGTCGGATGAGGCTTTGAGCAACCTGGTGTAGTGGAGGGTGTCCCTGCCCATGGCAGGGGAGTTGGAACTGGATGATATTTGAGGTCCCTTCCAACCCAAACCGTTCTGTGATTCTATGATCTCAAGACAGGGAGCGCAATGCCTTGCATGGTTTTTGAAGGAAATTCAATGTTCATCAAGGAAACCCAAGCTGACATCTGGGTCTTCAGTACCTCAGCAATGGCACTCAGGAAAGAACTGCAGCTAAGCCCTTGCTGAAGCTAGATCAACCTTGAGCATGTCTGAAGGGCTTTGAGAGAGTCCTTCAGTATAAATAACTTCAGGCCGACATATCCAAATTTCTAGATGTCTTTTCAAAGAAAAAGTTGTGCTAAGTGCAAGAAAGCTAGGACATACGCCACTGACTCAATCTAAAAATCAGTACACTAAAAACCAAAAATGGGGGGGAAAGATGTAGCCAAAGTGTTTTTCATAAATAATGGAGATGTAGCTTCTGTAATAAACTCAGTTTCTTTGTTGGGAAAAAAGGGATGCCAAATGGTTTGACCAGTGATCACAGAGAAAGACTGATATATGATGCAAAGACAAAGAGTTAAAGGATGGCAGGTAATTAAATGGCAGCCTGCACAGCTTAATGGGAAACAGACACAGATATAATTTCATTAACACATGTTGTTTAATAAACAAAGATTCCCTCACACAGACTTCTATAAAAGTGCTGATTTAGAATCACACTAAATTCAGAAACTGGAATATGCAAAAAGAAACAGTGCAACACACTGGATTAAAAATGGCTTATAAATATAAAAGATAACTGTTGGGAAAACCATTATCAGGTAAGGTAAACTGGCATCTGTTCCTGAGCCACTGATAAGGGAAGTCTGAAATAAAAGATAAATTCAGTGGTGTAAGTCCGTATGACTGACTGTAAGACAAGAATAATCCAGAAAAAAACAAGAATAATCATTAGCCAGCAAGTCAAATTAAAGTAATTTTTTTTTTATTTATGCTATGATCCATATTCAAAATTACATTCCCACTTAACATTTCGTGCTACGGAATTACTATCCCACTTAGCACAACAAATGGCTCACTAAACACAGCCTCCAATACTTCTTTTTCTCTTCATCCTTCACTTCATGGTTGGTTGGAGGGTTAGCTTTTGGCCTATCTGCCCCGAACGTGCAGTTTTATTTTCTGTATTTTCCTGTATTTTTGTAATTTGTTGCAAAAGTAACAAGAGCTACTTGCAAATAATAATCTTCCCAGTATTACCGTGAGAGAAGACAAGAATCATCATTTTACAGGAGAGAGAGTTATGACCAAATATCTTCCCATTTCAGAAATCCAGCTTGAGAAGCCCAGGACCAGATCTGCTCCAGACACAGACCTAACTACAAAAGCCACTTGGCAAAAGTGCTGAGCTCCAAAACAAAATGCAAACATTGCACATGGAGCATCCCAAATACACAGGACTCGTATCTACTTACTGAAAAATGGGATAAGCCAACTGCCCAGCATCAGGCACTAAGCAGTAGGTAATTTATCTCAGAAACCTGCAACTGCCTTAATCCTCAGAATCTCTTCCCTCTTCTCTCCTTCCTTCACTACAACATGTCCCAACTCCAGCAAACAGGGCCAGGGTGTGACAAAAATCTCCTTTACTACCTGCTCATTTGTTACCGGGGCAACAATCTGCACATATAGTAAATGAGATGAGAGTCACCTGGAAAATACTATGGAATCGTGGCTAATGCCATCCTGTTCTGCACAAGTACAGGAGCTAACATTTGAGTGCTTAACGATTTTAATGTTTGTTTTAGTAGATATTATGGTGAGGCGTTTGGGGTTTTTTAAAGCTGTTGAGAAAACCAGAATTTCTTTCGTATGCATGAAAAGATTTAGGATTAGGGATTAGGGACGGTTGGACTCGATGATCTCTAAGGTCTTTTCCAACCTAGAAATCTATGAAATCTATGAAACCCAAAGTCAGCTGTGAGCAGGGTTTTAACTTCTAGACCTGCAGCACAGAAAGGTGCAGGTAACACTTGACAGCAGCACAGTTTCCTCCTTTAGCACAGCTTACTCCAGAGCAATTTGCAACTGGTATTCAGAGACTTACTGGTACCAGAAAGATCACGGACTCAGCACCCGAATTACATAGAAAAATGTTTTCTGGTAATTATAACCCACTCTGCCTGCCTGCAACCTACACTTCAACACGTCAGCAGCTCATTAGGAGGCAGAGGGGGAAGGAGACAGATAAACTACTTAACTGGGGCCCATAAGCTCTTCTGTTAACTCACACTCCTTGAGGCTGAAGGCTGCACAACTCATTCTAACCAGGTTTGCTCTCTGAACACCAGCAGGTACAACACCACCTAATTTAAAAAACAAGTCAGCTCTTGCACGTGGATCATTAGGAGAAAAAAAAAAAAAAACCTGCTATAGCCCTTACCACACTCAAAGCACCAACCATTCTGCAGGAAGAGCACTACAAAAGTGATGGCTGAGTTTGGAAAGTAATGCCACCAATTTCAACCCCCAAAACCCAAACTCTACTAGCTAAGTCTGGATGGATTTTCGCATGGGCAGAACACAGCATTTATCTGCCATTTTGGCAAGCTCCCTATCACACTTCTAGTTTCTACAACAACAAAGACTCATTTCCTCAAATAAAGGACCCAAAAAATTACCCGTTTCCTCTAATATAATCTTCTCAAGCACCTGAATTAAATTTCTCTTAAAAAAAAAAACACACCACCACTTTTCCAAAAATAATTCAGCCTCAGATAGACCACTGAAAATGGAAAGTTGCAGAGTGGAAGAACTGAAAAGATATAAGCAACTGAAAAAAAAACCCAAAATCTCTGTCTTGTGGA